AGTACAGGGAAAAAATATTTTTTCAAGATATGTTCTGGATGCCCATATAAAAATGAGATTGCCAATACATTAATGATTTTACAGAAGATACTTCGATGGTTGCAACTAGGATCTCCGATTTAAACTTTCGTTGAAATGATTTCTTGAAGCGTTCCCATCTTGAAAAGTTATGGAGTGCCAGTTTGAATTTAGTGCTATAAAGAGAATTAAACCTGCTCTTGAATTTCGGTGCTTGGAGAAGCACGTGACATTGATCACTGAACATAACTGAAGTTTGTCTGTTTGGTCAAGTGGAACTTTTCATTGATTGCTTTTGAGGCTTTGTGTAGTCTCAATCGAAATAGGGCAGTTTCACAATGAAAGTGACAGCATGAAGCTTTTATCTAAATTGGAGAAAAGGTTTTACTGGAGAGCTTCCTCAGTTCCAGTCTGGATGGGCACCAGGAGCCAAAAACAGGCGATATTCAAATTAGGATATATGGAGAACGCTGTAAGAAATCACGAAACAGTATCTGAAGGTTTCTTAAAATGAATCCCTCAACTACTTCATAGAATTTCACAGGAATCGGAGAAAGTTAAGCTCACGCCTCTGACTGACTTAAGCTGCAAAGGTTTGCGGTTCCTTTGCTAGTATTTCGGAGTTTTTTTCATTCTGCATGGGCAAAGTACCCAAACATCTTTCTAAGAGTTCCCTGAAAATGAGAAGTGAGATACCCTCCAAGACATTAAGGAAAGACTTTAGAGAGGGAGGTACCATACATATGCAGCTTCTGACATGTCTTCTTGCCTCCCTGCTTTAGGGGATGTTTTCATTTTACTTTGGTGAGACCGTCTTACCATCTTTATCATCTCTTACCACCATTGAATGCTGTGTGTTCAAAAGTCCAGAACATAAAAAAAACTTGCAGTGGAGACCTGCTGTTCTTTTGTAACTTTTACACGGGAAATATAACATTTTGCAATCATTCCATAAGAGTAGAGATTAAAAAATGTTAAAGGCTTTTTTAAAATTTAGAATGCATGGGGAAAAATACTTTTTTGTTTTACCTGTGGACATGTACACTAACCAAGCCCAAACACTGCCTGCCACCTACACCTGAGAATTCTCCTGGAACCTCAATATCCTGTCTGACTGCATTGGTACTGGAGTCAGTCATGTGGAACTCTAATGATATGTTGATACAGCTTTTCAATATGAACCTGTGGATATGCCGCCAATTAAAATTCAAGCCAGGCATCTCTACCGGAAGAATAAGACACCCTACATCTGAATAACAACCAACGTGAACTGGATTTCATTTGTGACAAGGCAAAAAAATAGCGTTCTCTATTCTGTGTTCTTTATGATGCAATCTCTCTGCATAGCCCTCCTTTGTGCTCCATAAAACTGTAATGACTGAAGTTATTGCGATGGGGCAGGAATCTTTTCTGAGCCGTGGTAGCAGCAATCAAAAGTGCAGTAGTAGTCACTTTTAAAATATTGCGTGGATGAGCAGAATGGTGGAGATAAAATTCCTCCTTAGTTAATCAATCCAGAGAGTTTTCTCGAAGTCATAGGTTTTCTTTGTCACGTCCTTAAGAATTAGTCCTCGCCTTTCATGCTCTCCTCTGTAAACCAAGGGAAATTCTGGATAACCAATGGATTGATATTCAATGATTCATCTGCCATTCATTGGGAATAAGCTCATGAAAACCACATCCAAGAGACAGCCAGCCCAATAATGAATTTTAATGGAGTTTGACATGGTATTGATGACCAGGAAGGAGAGTACTTAAGGTTTCCTCCACTCCACTACCAGCAGGAGCTCTTGCCCATTCTCAATACCTAACTTCATTTCAATAATTGCAGATATTACAACTCCTGCCTGATGAATTCAGATGAAATTTCGTGAATAGTAGGAAGCATACTCATATACGCATAGTGAAGGTTTCACGGAAATAGCTCTGGTGAAAATGGAGATGTTGAGGTTAAAAGCCGTTGGTCTTTTTTCTATCATATCATGTATAACGGGATCTGATATGGGCTTCCCAAGGTTTCTTGCATAGGAAATCTATATAGCGAGTCTCAAAGTGAAAACCTTTCCAATCCTCTCTGCTCCTAGAAAATTTTCTACTTTTAACCCATTGAGCGGTATGGCCGTGCGTTCCCGGCCCCGCAGGACTGTGGCCGCACCGGTACGTCCTACATCTTCGAGTTCAATTGCCACATTTGTAGATATCGTCAGTTTAAGCTTGAAGCTTGGAGGTTCCTGAATATGTATCGCCTTATTCGGTACTGCCATCTTCAAACTAGCACAGAAATCAACAGACAAAAAATTACAATTTTTTCTCAACAGAGAAAAAATTAAATACTAACTTTGGGGGAGTTCATGAGAGAGGGTTTTCAGTGTGACTCTCTCACTGACAGATGCCTATTCCATTTCGAAAATTAAGCGGACTTAGGTGTGCTCTCGATTTTCGATGACAAATCTGGAAAGCCCTGAAACTGGCAATAAACTGATGACAAAACGTCTCATGTGCAAGGTGTTGGTGGACAAGAAGCGGTTTGTATCAAGAGACATTACATGACAAACTCCCTTACAGGAAATGAGAAGGAAAAGGGGATTAAATCAATTATTTCTTCCGTATTTCACCTCTTTTATATATTATCAATTCCGTTTCGGAACTTTACTTCGATTTCGCGTTATTTCTTAACGAAGGGCAGGATTGGGGGGAGGGGGGTAGTTTCTTCTACATACACATTCCGATGGTTATAGCAATTTCCTACTGTAGAGAAGTGAAAATCGTGATACATATGGAATTCAAGGTATAGAATAAAACGTAAATTTTAGGAATGAAATTTAATAAGGTTATTTATGTTGAATTAAAGTTATTTCGACATACTTCTGAGGTAAAATCGGTTTGTTCATAAAAGAAAAATATTCTGAGCTGGAGCCCATCCGCAAAAAAACTCACCCCTCAATGGGTTAAACTACCTTTATTACATGGGCAATGCTGGAAGTCTTGTCAATTGTTCTATTAACAGTTCCAAGAAAGCATAAATCCTGAGGGTTCTTTTACATGATACATGCTTTTCTTGCACTTACCCCAATTACCTGTATAATTTCTATCTAGGTCTGTTGAGTTTCCAGGGGCAAGTGGGAACTCCCTCATTTTTTCAGCTAACATCAAAGATAGGGGTAAGTTGCCTCTTCTGCAAAGCAATCATGGAGTAGGATGTCTTGTGCGGTACATTCCACCCCCAGTTACAAGGCAATTTTTAAATCCCAAGGATGAATACCCCATCTTGGCCAACAGTACTGACGCAAGAGTGCACGAGTGCAAGGTTGGCTATATAAAATGGACATGAACAGAGCGCTGGAGATATTTTAGTTTATTTTTGTTTTCAACAATTTTTTTTTTCTGAAAATGAATTTTTTGTCACTTGTTTCAGGGATGCAAAATAAACAGGGCATTAAATGCACATCTGAAAATGTTAGCAATGATTTCACAATATGCCAATTGGAAAAGGAGACATTCTTAAGACTCCTCAGTATATCAAAAACTATTGTCGACTGGTTGCATGCAACAACTTGCATTGTTTTACTAGTACTGTAGCTTTCAGAGCAAAACAAAGATTTGTACCAAAAACGAACGACTAATAGTTATGATTTAATCACCCTAAAATTCAACTTTCACTTCTGTACAAGTAATTATGAGGGGGGCTAAACCTACCCCCACGTATTGGGGCTAGAGGGCACCCCTGACCAATTTTTAAAATGTTTTCATACGTCTAATGCTGCAAACTCGAAAATTTTGATATTAAGCAGAAACAGTGAAATGGATTGGATTGGATTGGAAATGGATTTTCTTTGTTGAAGGTGATGAGAATTCGTTCATAACTGCAGTGCTTACACCAGATGAAAGTTGTACAATTGTAAAAATGAGGGTCCACTTACTCCAAGCAACTCAACATTTTTCCTGGGGATCACAAAGAGCATCTAATCCATGTTGATGAAATTCTTCCTCTTGCCAGGAAGCAACTAAAGTAGTACATGTTCCATAGCCAGAGAAGCCCATTAGTGCATGTCAAAACCAAAAAAACTGAAACCAACAGCACAGAAAATATTGTTCTGCCTGGGGGTTTTCCTGAGCAAAAGGGGCAGAGGATGGCCAAGAAGGCATTGGGTGTATGACATCAAAGACTGGATGGGCCTAACCCTGGTGGAGGCCACTAGGAAAGCAGCTGACAGGATGGATTGGTGCAGGTAGGTTCATCATGCTCTCTACCTTCAGAACTGAGAATGGCAGATCTAACTAACTTCAGGTGTATCTTCATGGAACTGAATAAATGAAAATTCTAGGGAGTGACATGACAATAGGCAAGATGGAGAAGCACACAGCTCACTGTTGTTTGCAAAAGAACCTTGTTTGGAAGGGAAAAGGTTGTGCCAGGCGCAGTATGTCAGGAGCTTCTGTAACAAGGGGATGAACTTCATCAACATGGAAAACAGGCATCTCAACATCACAGGAATAAATGACAAGACTAAATGGAGAAATATGGGTAAGTGCAACGTAAGCTGATACATATGTATCATGTCACTGAAGCATGTAGGACTTTTACATACAGGGTTATTATAAAGTAATAACCCAACTCTGGTCAAAACTGTTTTAAGGGATTGTTGGATGCAGCTGATATTTGACAGAGAAGTTCATCAGCTTAAAAGGCTTCTTTTTTTTATCATACTAACCAGATGATAGTACGTCGGTAGGGGCAACTGTGGTTGCAAATGCAAAGGTAAACCTTGAATAAACAGTGCAACTGGTACAATGATGTAACTTGTTGACTGTCTATAAGGGTAGCAAATTTTCAAAAAGAATGCTATCCATTTCCACAACTGAATGGAACTCAGGTGAATACTGCAATCAATGCAAACATTGCTGCACTGAGAGCTTCAGCATGTTGCCTGAAATGATGTAAATGCCATACTCCTTTTTCTTTCTTAGCCAATACCTATTCTCCTCTGGTTACCTTTACATATGTGACCAGAGTACCACCCAATGACATACCCTGCCATCTAGCAGGTATGGAAAAAATCATGGAAAAAATCAAATTAGACTCATGAACCTCTCTGTCAAATATCAGATGCATTCAACAGTCCTGTCAAAAATAATGGCCATACAAAGATGGGTGATGACTTTATAATAACCCTGTACATAAATTTTGAGGAAAAAAAATAGACAAGACTTTACCATATTAGTACTTTGTCTATAATATCAGCTACATGGATCACAGACATCAACTTAAAGCATTAATCAAGCTCAAACCAACAGGGAATTGCATGGTGAAGCCCCAAAAATGGACACCCAATGGGCCATGACAGTCATCTTTTACTTATCATTAGAAGATATGTCAAAAGACATTATCCTATTGAAGATTGAGACTTTGGAAGCTACATGTGGTGTAGCCTAGCCTTCCTCATCAAAACAGTGATGCATAGACTTTCTGCTCCAATGCAAGCCAATCTGAATTTGTCATGATCCAGGTAAATGAATCATTCTTGCAGTACCTTCACTCACACAATCGCTACGATCAGTTGTTTTCATCATCATGCTTGGAGCAGAACCTGCCATGTTCAACTTGAAAAGTAGTAGACACAATAGAGCCACCAAACAATATTCCTCCATTGATCAAGACAAGACCATTCTGGCCATAAAAAAATATAATGTAACCCATCACATTTTAGGACACTTTGGCTTTCAATAGTCTTTTCAAGTCTTTCAAGTATTTGCTAAAGATGTAGGAGGATGGTCACCGGAACTTGATCAGGAGCCAGATGACAAAGAAGACAAAGAGGGAAAAGAGAAAGAGATACAAAAGGTAACGGTTGTGACCCGCTTTTGCCATCTGCACCACCCGGGTCATTGTCTTTCGCAAGATTCCGTGGGACTTCTCAAAGTCATCATCCTGTGTTGGAGGGAGGGGAAGAAATAAAAATATCAATCTCATGGCTGAATAAGAATTTGCAAAAGCTTCAGCAAAACAACTTCAATGATACTCCTGTTTTAAAGAAAAAACCTGGATGAGACAAAAAAAAAAGTGTCTATCACTCTCTAAAATGTGTTGTTCTGTTTCAGCAACTGAGCCTTGCCATCCAAGGTTAGGAAATATGAGCAATACCAGTTCTTTTTCATAGGTCAAGAAATAACATGGCTGCAGCCTGAAAGCATAAGGCATACCACACAGGAGCATGTAAATCATTGCAACAGCATAAATTGGTGGCTGTATGGGGCCTAAAAAAAAAAAAGGGTTGTTCTATGAAATTTAGTGGTGCTTATGAAACAGCAGACATCATTCCAAAGTTTTAATGTATTCCATGTATTCCTAAACAGCTTTAAAAGTTTCATCTGTTCATCCCCTAGCACATGAATCATTTACAAAGACTTTCATTAAAAAAATTAAAAAAATAATTTGAATGCTCATACCATGATGCTGACCAGAGAAAATGTGGTATTGACTAATACGATCCAAGATAACATTTTTAATGAGCCTACATTAGCCTAATGTGGTCCTCCATTAGGATATGTTGGTGCACTGTAGGTTATTCACGTAGGTCCCATGTAAAAGTGACAGATGGGCCAATGTGGGACCAACATTGGCAGTAAGTAGTAGAGCAACATATACCCCACTTACCCTGCAGCTGGTATTTGCTCTGTATTAGCCATTGTTCATCATTTCATACCATATACTTAAATTCATTACCCAGTGGAGGAATTCCCATCTGCAGTATGGAGCTGTAAGTACTACCCCCTGCTCATGCACATGCATATGCCTATACCCTGGACAGGGAGGAGACATAGGACAGTACAGAGTACAAGTGAGAGGATGGTCCACCCCTTGTGGTTCTATGGAGTATCTGTGAAATCAATCCTGTCCCTCTTCTGCCATCATGATAAGGAAACAGTGGATTAAGTGATTTAAGTTCAATGTTCTCAAACTCCTTTTCAGATAAGGTCATCATGCCTTATAAAAGGGTTCTCATATGGAATATGAGTGTTTATGGCCTGGGCTCCATGAATCTGTCTTGAACATGTGGATAACAAATGATGAAGTGTCCATGTCTATAGATTCATATCAGGTGGTGCAAAAAAAGTGTCATGTTTGTCAAGTGTTTCCAACATAATATGAAAATATCAAAAACCTAGATCATCCACAACAGATTTTATAAGGCTTCAAACACTACGTGTTTTTTTTTTGGCGCCACCCGGTATAATGAGACTAGATGAGACATATGGCAAGGAACTAAACACTCCTGTGAGGGATGATTCCAGGGAAAAAGGGAAGGGCAATTTTGTGAACTGTGCAAAAAGTGAGACCTCTGAGTTCTGAAATTCTCAACATGGAGATGTGCCCATGTCAAGCTCACATTGGGCCAACATCAATCCCCAGCATTCACCCCATGTTGGGCCAATGTTGCATGTTATCTGTGATTCTTTTAAAGGCTTATTTTCCCTCACATTCAAAATCCACTGAACAGATCGACTCACTCCTACATCTCAGGCAATTCACAGCTAGGATTTTGAATCCACAAATAATGTCCTTTAAAAATACTGACTTCTGTTATGTGAAGATAACATTTTTCAATGTTTGCTCATTTTTATCTAATGCTCCCTCTTTTCCTCTTAAATGATCCCATTTCTTGCAGCCTGTAAATATATTTGCTTATGAACATATCTTGCATTTCTTTCACTTTTCTTCAGGAAATTATTGTCAATTCTTAATGTAATGAAATGAAATGAAATGACCCTTTATTAGCCTTAATTCGGCCCATCAGCACAAACACAAAAACAAAACAAAACATACTGGTGTCACAATTCTACAGGAGGCTGGTTTCTGATCCCCCTCATAAGGAAGCTGCTTTTGAATTTGGTTGTTCTCACTTTTGGGTATATAAACTGTTTTTGAGTTTGGACTCCACCCATCCTACCCCACCCCATCCTACTGTAGAGAGTTTTCATGGACACAAAGAGGAGCTTCAAATAAGAAGCAGGATACACTTAATGAACTGACCACTCTCTGGAGGCAAAAATAAAATTCAAGTTACTTAAACAAAAATGCTCATGTGATGAAATAGTTGGAGGAAAAATGGATAATAATTTCAGAATGTTTAGAGGAAACATAGAGGACACCGCAAAAAAACTTTTGCTGTGGTATATACTTTCTCATGAATGCTTAAGAATTTCTAAAAGCAGCATGTTTTCTAAGATTCATCCAGTATGTTAGTCAATTGTGTTCAATGTCTCTATCAGTTCATTTTTAAAGTATATATTACAGTCCATTGCTTGCCCACTCTCTTATCAGAGTAGCTGCTCCTTTTGATGTAAGTGCAGCATAATAATCAGTTTAAATGATTCAAACTGAACTGAAATAAACTGAGCTATTAAGAGGCCTAGGGAATCAGGCATAATTTTAAAAAAAATCTCTAAAAATTGCAAGGGATGAGGACAAAGATCATCTTTGTCTCTGTGATGTAAACCCACCATTTCACTGAGGAGTCTATTATGCTCCTTCAGTTCCACTCCTATCTCCAGGCTCACCTATAATTTAAAAAAAGTACAAATGATAAATAAAATAATGCAAAAATAAAATTCCTTCAAAGTGAACACAAGAACATCATTCTGAAGGTCATTTACATATACACAGAGAGCATTATCATTACAGTTTTGAATAGAAATTAAAGCATATTATACTCTCAAGTGTCAGATTTGCCACCTATTAAGGTGGCAAATCCCATGGGCTTTATTTTTTCTGGGTCTGAGGAGGATGTAAAACTATGACTTCTTTAGCTTCTTACCATTTCTATAGATTGACTGTCAGTATTGAATTGGTTATATTGTTTCTAAAAAAAAGGGAAAGATATGTAGTTTCAGAAATATTGAAGTGATATTATTTGGAAATGAGAGAACTTTCAGTTGGCATGGAACAACTCCAGGTACAGGTCCATTAATAGCAGGGATAGGCATTGCTTTCATATCAAAAGGTATGCCCATCATTGGGGGCTGTTTCTCACTCTTGTGCTTTTGTTGACTAATTCTTTGGCAAAATGATAACTGACAAAATCAAAACTATTGCAAGTGTTGCATAAACCAAGATCATCACTTTCCTACACTGGACACAGAAAGGTTAATAATAACTCAGAACTTGCTTGATTCCAAATCACTATAAGCCAGATGTCACTGTCTCCTTTGGACAGAGGCTGATACCAACTAGTGATTTTGTATCATTCAGTTTTGTTACTGATTCAATCTTAGTATGAGTCAAAATTCATTTCATTTATAGTTGATGGTAGTTCTCTAAACTGAAGATAAAATAGCAGTTTAGACCAGTTTATTGGACCCCTGCATATAAAACAGACTAAAACTGAACTGGATGGCAAGGTTCCATCAAGCACAATTTGTTAATGGCACAATTCACTTTTAAGCACCCAATGAGGTACTGATCACCCTTACTCTAACCAACCTTAAATTGAGAGGTAATGCCAGTAGCACTGAAGGCATAGGAAGCAACAATAAAATGACAAGGAGTAAACCTGGAGCAACTCATATCTCAGCAAGCTTTTTCCCTCTCCCTCTATACATCTACTTCATGTCATTAATGCTTTTGTGATGGGGACATGATGGTAAACTTGAGTGGGGAGTGAGCAGTCACAGGCAGAGGTTTTTGGGCAAATGTTTCTTAAGAAGACAGAGCTAAGGAGTAGGAGAGTCACAATAAAAAAAAGGTGGTTGCTGTACAACAAATGAACTATAATTATTTCCCAAAAGGCAACAGTAGATAGGGGGGGGATTCACAGGCCTGTCAACGATAGGGCAATCAGTGACTGAACACAGTGAGGAGTGACCAGTTAGCCAGTGGAGTTGCTAAGTCAGTGGTGAAGAGATGAGGAGGTCCAACAGAGGAATCACTGAGTAGAGTGCCAGCAGAGGCCATAGGTGTGGATGAGCATGACAGGCTAAGTCAGTGGAATCGAACTGTCCAGGCAAGAGGAGGGGATAGGTAGTCTACACAGGAGGGGGAGGGGAACATGAAGGGGTGTGCACTGGGTGTATGACCTAATCACACTTTCTTCTCTGTTTCAACTCATTTCATGCTTCCTGCTGTGTGGATGAGACACCCATTCAAGGGAACTGCAGAAAGCCAAAGACACTACTGTTTCATAAGGAGAAGAAAACTAGTCACAGAGGCTTCCTCACCTCCGAAAGACATATGCCGAGTCCCTAACCTTCCCATTACCCAGTTTTTCCTCCTGCCCTGTCCCTTCTGCTCACTTCTTGTTCATCACCACAGATATATGACTATTTTCATTTGAGCTCTCCTAGCTCCCCTCCTCATTCCCAATACAGAGATAATCCAAAAGAATATCAATGAATACCAATGCAACAGAAAAATGATAATCTGAGATAGTGCTATTAAAAAGGTTAAAATTGCATTGGGGGTACTAAAGTATAATTCAAAAATAAGAAAGACTATTTCATAAATGATTCTGAAAATTTAGTGACTGATTCCAAAAAAGCAAAAAAAAAAAATTTGACAGCATAAGCATAACATAGGTATCAGAAAGATGATATAGACCTGACTAGAAGAGGTATTGTTATTCTCAAAATCAATACTACATAGCAATGTGTTTACATGTATTAAAGTTTGCCTGCTACAGTGAATGAACATAGATCATATCAAACAGAAATTCCATGTAAGACCAATCCATGAACATTTTGTATGGGCAGGTAAGTACTTTGGTTAAATGCAAAGCAGAGTATGCAAAAATGTGAGGCAACACACTTTTGCTTCCCCCCCCCCCATGATGATGTAAGGATTGACAGAGTCTCATAGGAAATCTAACTAAAATTATTTATTCTGAGAATGGATTACCTACATTCATAAGGAAAAGAACGGTAAGAAATCTTCTAAAGCTGGAAAAAGTAGAAGTCTTATTTTTTATGCTAGAGGCAAATCTAATAGTATAACCTCACCAGCCAAATGATTTTTCACCTTTAACCACATTTCTGACATCAGTCTCATTACTAGGTAGAATGCATTAAAAGCCCAAGGCTTACAGATTTCAAGGCACCAATCTTCTCCTTCAGTCCCTCAGTTAGATGATCATTCTCATCCTCTAGGTGGTCTCGTCTCCTTGGCTGTGGATATTCTGAGTCCTGCAGCTCTCTTCCTGAAAAATATCAGGTCCCATAGCCATGGACACAATAAAACAAATTAAACTGTACACATCAATTGTAAGTTCCAACTTAGAATGTCAGACTGGCCTCAGAATCCTTTTTAACACTTCTCAAGGGAATATAACACTGAAATCAAACAGGCCTTAGTGACAAGCCAACATGATCTGAATTAAATACAGGGTGATCTATTATCATGCACCCACTCAACTATATGGTACAAATAGATGTGTGGATACATGATTTTCAATCACCCTGTATGAACCAAACAAAACTCATATGCAGGATGTTCGAAAAGTCACTGTGCAGTAGAAATCACGACAAGACGTAGGAGGCCTCACTGTAGCTAGGAATTACACACAATAAATTATGTTAATCAGGGATGGTGCTAATATATGATGAAGGATTGAGTGGAAATTCATGTCTTTGATGGTGCAATACATGTGATACCCAGTACAATACTAAATACATGCAACAGAATAAATGAATTCTACTGCACAGTGACTTTTCGAACACCCTGTATTACACAATATTAACATGATCTAATATACTATATTTAAGAACAAAAATTAAATACAAGGAAAGAAATACATAATATTCACCACTTATGTCATGAGTGTCAAACTCAAAAAATTAATGAACACCCTGTATTACACAATATTAACATGATCTAATATACTATATTTAAGAACAAAAATTAAATACAAGGAAAGAAATACATAATATTCACCACTTATGTCATGAGTGTCAAACTCAAAAAATTAATTTGAATATGACTCATCAACTCTTAGAATAAATTAATGATGGAACAAACACACCTCATCTGCATACAGCAAGTCTGCAATGCATTGGGGTTGGATTAAATAGAAGTTCTATTAAGAGCAGCATAGTAACTTTTTTAAATTTTCAAAGTTTTATTCATAGAAAAATAGTATAACCACAACTGTCATCAGGAATCCAAGCTAAATCTTTCTCATTTTGACTTGTAGGTTGGATTTTCATCAAAAACTAACCTACTAACAGCCAAACTAATAGAATAACATTATTCTCATCATATTCCTACTACTTATCCCTCATTTGAGTAAGAGCTGGCAACCCAATAGCTTATGACTCAAGTGGCTTTATTGAATTTCGTAGTGGTGAATTTTTTTCACTTTCTTCTTCATGCCCTTCAAGCAAATTTAGAGCAATATATGGGAGTTATGAGAAGAAGGGCCCTGAAAATGCTAGGCGTGGCGAGATTGTCCTATATATAAGTAGGACATAGGCTACCCTGGATGTGCCCAGCAGCTTGATGAAAACATATCTAAATAAAGTCGTGCATAAAAAAGAATGAGATAATATCGATGTAGAGCAACTCCAGTCTACTAGGTTAGGCCCAACATAGGCTCATGCCTTAGATGAAATAAACTTTTGGACTTACCTGTGGACGGGTATCCGTAAACTCGTCTCATGTTTCCCACTCANCAGTCTACTAGGTTAGGCCCAACATAGGCTCATGCCTTAGATGAAATAAACTTTTGGACTTACCTGTGGACGGGTATCCGTAAACTCGTCTCATGTTTCCCACTCAAAAAAGTTCCCAAGAGGTGCTTGATCAGTTGAAAAAACAGTGAGAATATAAGAACTCTTACATTGAGATGTAATAAGGAGATATCCGCATGATATGATGCCAATAAGCCAGAGACGATCGACCTAGACTACCATGCTCTTGCGTGTTGGCAGATGAAACGTGTTTCGACTATTACGCCATGCTGGATGTGACACGTCATCTCCAATGATATTCATCGATGCCATCCTCCCGTGACGTCAGAGCACTTCCGCGGGAAAAGCAGGAGGTCCCGACCGAATTCAGATTATATTTAGCTTTAAGAGGGTTAGGCCTATCCTAAAATTAAGGAACGCTCGACCTCGACACGTGATATTGAAATGGGTGAAATCGCCTCTTGATATCACTAACTATCTTGAATCTTGAATCTTCAGTACAATAACAACTGTCGTCTATTCGCCCACCAATCGTTCCGAATACTATGATGCAACATCTGATAAGTAAAAAGTTGAAGGTTCTTTATACTTGGAGAAGCTATAGAGGAAAGGGAGTGACCCCAGAGAAACCTGTTCATCTGAAATCGACTCGGAATTCACAGCTGAAAAATGTGCATTGAACTTAATGTAGAATTGCATTTTTCGTAGAGGAATTAGTTTAATTTGTGATTGAACTTGGAATCTTTCGTTTCGGGCAAATATTCAATGACAACTGATTATCATTGTTATACTTGTAATGGATACACTTCCATGCACCATGGACATTAGGTCTTCTGCTCCTAACAAACCTGGGTTAGCTATAACCGTTTCAGAAGAGACGGAGAAGTGAGAGGGTATAGAATACTCTTCGGTAAGTTATATATTAATAAATATTATTCAATCCATCAGCAATTCAAAACGCAGGTCTGCCGTCGTATTTGTAAATGAGCCAACTAGCAGCAAGTCCATTATTTAAGAACCACCCGCTCAGAAGTAAAGTCATTCGGTCCCCCCTAGTGAAAGGTCAAGGAAAGGAAAGGTCAAGCACAACTTATGTAGCATTTATGAAAGACATCAACATGAGGAGAGTAGATGGACTACTACGATTTTCAATGTTTTAAGAAGAACTCAAGAATAATATCTAAGTTTAATCTAAAAATAACTTTGCGAACAATAAATAGTAATTTTTAAGCATATGTACGAGCTGATATGTTTAAAGTAAAAGTAGTTACAGGAGGAAAATGCGCTCAGAAAGTGCATCATGTACATTACTTCATCATGTTCCGGGAATAAAAAGAAGAGGCACAACACTATGTATTAACGAAGGGTCAACGAACCCAAGATCTACTTGGGAAACCTGAGAGACACTTCACAATTTTAGACAGTAAATTATTACAGCAGCCCTTTCTGCTGCTCATCTCGATGAAAGCAAACATAATGCTGTACCTATGTTTTTAAACAATTCATTGAAACGCTTGAGTACAAAAGTGACTATTCACTGGTCTAAAGCAATTAAACTGAAGAATGACAGTGGAAATATAC